AGTGAACATATTTTTATACACAGAAATATTGAGATCAGAATCAAAAATCTGGTGAACAGAGGCAGGGAGTTGATCAATCAAGGCACTGATGTCTTCATCACTGTGACGGAACCCGGAGGTTCCTAGCCACCGAGAAAACGCTTCTTACCGTATAAAATGACAACAGCGGTAGATAGTTACTCCGATGTAGCGCCACGTGCAGAGACAATTTATATCTCACCACGCTCTGCTGCGACCGGATGAAGATAGATAGAACAAGAATCAATTGATAGTTACAGATACATACACGTTTAGTGTTTATCCATCAGTACACTCCAGCGAGGGTAGTACTAGATACTCTGTTCAGTGAGCTCCATGAGCCCTGTAACAATCAAGATCTCTAAAAGCACAATCGCTGTTCAATAAGCGCTGGCGAAGTCTTTGAACAAGCAAGACAAGTTGGTCTTTGCTTTGAGACTGAAGGGTATTGATAGTCTCATTTTCATCTACACTGGAGAAGAAAAGACGAAGCCGAGAAAGCCGACAGACTTTGGATTATACTGGAAAGCATGATTCGTGTGTCTGGCGGCATTCATCCCATTTGTTGTCATGAATGGACTTGATGCAATAAACTCCTTGATGATAACAGAGATCACAGGGGTTAATTTCATCGAGAATGACTCCTAGCTCGCGAATGACTTGAGCTGCGGCATTGTGGTTCCCACGGCTGAGTGCAGACATGTCGGAAGAGTTCAAACGGACGTTTTTTGAAGCAAATTGGTTGAATATCAATAGAGGTATGAGTCGTTGAAGTTAAGATAATTTGCTAAGGAAATAGTTCTCTATCCCTATTTTTGAGGAATAAACTAACCTTTGGGTGGCAAAGAATCTGGAAGAAACTCAACAATTTAGGATGGCAAATAAGGACGATATAGCGTTGAAATAGTGAAAGGGTGTATGGGTGCTCAGTCGAGATGAGCGGATCGATGGAGAAGGGGAGGAGCAGTAAAAATCGAGAAATCACAGCTGGTATGGGTTCGCTAATCGAACAAATCAAGGGAGCGACAAACGCTCAATAACTGTCTAACGCGAGGAAAAGAACAAAAGTAAATCGATTCAAATCATAGTCAAATATAATCACTCTTGCTGGGACCAACTCCTGAAATTGGCTGCAAAACAGCGCATAAAGCGCCCTAACATTGCTTCAGTCTGTGTATGAATGCGTTGTTATTTCTATGTACAAAATTCCAGTAAGACCGGTGGTGTTGAACACCGGTTATTATACCTGCTATCTAGTTGGTAGACGACCGGAAAAACATTGTTTCATAACAAGAAAACAGAAGTTCAGCTTCAACGGTTTAGGGGACAAGATTAAGTTGACAAGCAACTTAAACTCTAATGGTTATCAAATGTCAACCTTGAGGAAAGATGTGGCAAATCATACTTAATAATAATGCTGATTAGCATCGACAGAGAATTATTGGATCTTTGAATCTGGACACTTATGGTCCAAAAAACCACTTCGGCATGCCGAGACGCCAAGGGCTTGGGTGAGCAGTAACATAGTCGTACTTGTCCGTACGGCTCTGATGTATATAACCCTGGACAACCTTACGTACCCTTCTTTAACAATCAACTTTGTTGCAAGGATCACACAATTAAGCATATCAAACTGACGAACTCAAAAACCTTGATGCATCAAACTCATTAAATAGCTATGATTTGATATCTAGATGATCAAGGTTTACGAAATATGGAATAGTGTTGAAGCATAGCTGTGAACCGCTCAGAGAAAGGGAAAGTCTATCAAGGAATTATTATAAATACAGGTCTTATTTCTGACTTGTACTTAATTATCTGTCTTATTCTTGTGGATATTGTTGAGCAGTCATCTTAATGATAACATATTACTATGAACTCACACTTTATTGCATGATTGCCGTTATGTTGCCAATTTTTGCTATCTTACAACTCTTGCCTTGTGAAGACAAGTTAAATGCGAACTTTGCACTTATCAGTCTAAGACTTGTTTTTGACTTATAAGCTGACAGAGTAGCAAAGTGTAGCGCCACCCTCCCGATCCTCCTCGGTCCCTTGTTGTTCCGATGCTTATCGGTCCTTTGTTGTTCCGATCCGACTACGGAGATACGTCACCCCGTCCTCCTTCGTCGGATCCACCTCTACTCCGGGGTCTTACCTCTTTGGGACTAGATCACCCATCTTGATCTGGATCTCCCTTGTTCTGCTTCTCCCCAGATTCACTGTTTGTGGTGATTGACCATAGATCTTCGGAGACAGGCGTCACATAAACAGTGAATCTCAACTCCATAAGACCCTGAGATTACCAATCCCGAGACCAGTGACCTTTTTTCGCGTTTAGCGAAGCCCTAGTTCATCCTTGGTGAGAATCCTTTGTCGTTGTTGAGAAGGTTGACGCGTTGGCGAGAGGGAAAGTTTAATTCAACGTCACCTCTTAAAACCCTCAACCAGCGGTCAACCTCTATATCATAAGAACCCCTTAGTTAACCTTAGAAGAACTGTCCTAGATCCTTCGTCATCACTTGTCTCCAACGTCCTTCTCCCTGAAATCATTAATTTTTACGTCACGAGATGGCTCCGTCTCGTCGTGCTCAAGCCGGCACGAACGATGTGGCAGCGAGCAGATCACGACGTGTTCCTCGTGTTGTACCCCCGTCTGACAGAGTCACTCGTTCCAGAGCTCGACCACCGCCACAGACAACCCACGCCGGCGCCGTTGATCATAGAGAAGGGGAGGTACCTTCCAACCCGGCCCTCTCGGGTAACGTCAGCACGTTACCTCCACCTTCCGCTATGCCTCCAGCACCAGAAGCACGTATAATTTCCAATGCCTCAGTACAGTCAGATGCACAGGCGGGGTCTCTGCTTGCGGCTATCCCACAGGCGGATGGAACACCCGTACCTACTTCGACGGCGGTGGAGGCAGAGGCGGACGCTCGTGCTCTTAATGCGTTGTTAATGGCCGAGAGAGAACGTCATGAACAAGAGCTTGCAGCACAAGCCCGGGAAATTTCGGCCTTGAGGTCTCAGTTACAGCCTCCCGCTGCCTCTGTTTCTGCACCCTAAC